CTGCAGTTGGCATGATTCTAAAGAATCTCTGAAAATGGAAAACCTCACCAAGGAATCCACTCCTTCCTGGCGTTTGCCATTCAAAGATTTTTCAAACTTTAGTTTTGAAGGTAATTCAAAGCTTAACACAGGGAAATGTTTACAGCAGTTCAATTCACAATAATTAAGTTGTGGAATCAACCTAGGTGCCCTTCCACAAACGAATGCATAAAGAAAATGCTTACCATAGGGAGATTCACAGGAAGATAAAAGGCATCTTCATTCTAAAGTTCCCTGGACTATATCTCTGCTGATGTAGAACATTTTCTTCAAAAGAGCACTTAAAATACTATTTTTTATGCTTAACCATACATGATTAATTTTTTAAAAAATATTTTTAGTTGCTGATAGACTTTTATTTTATATATTCATATGTGGTGCTGAGAATGGAACCCAGTGCCTCACACATGCCAAGCAAATGCTCTACCACTGAGCCCCAGCCCCAGCCTGCTTAATGTTTATAATAGCATGTGACTATAGTTCGTTTTCATAATCAATTTTGTAGGTATAAAGTGGTTCTTTTGAAATGAAGTTCTTATAATAATGTATCTATAGAACAGAAGGTTTTGCTTACAGTCTTTTTAAGTCTTGATTTTCAAGACTTTGTACCTAAAATTTGTATGACTAATTCTGTTCTAAATGAGATTCTACATAAGCTCTAGAAGGACTTCCCTGAGCCTCAGTTTTCACATCAATAAAAAATAAATAAAAAATAAAGAGATTGGGCTGACTGCCTGCATATCAGTATGTTACTAACACATCTTGGAATACATTTATTTGGAAGATTTTCTTATCCACTATAAAACAGTTAGCTTCGTCAGGATAGGCCCTCGTTTTTCTTTTTCTTTTGATATCACCTATCTATAACTAATGCATAGTAAATTATTATGTATATTTATTTTTAAATTTCTAGTACTAAGGATTGAACTCAGGGGTACTTTATTACTAATATACATCCCCAGCCTTTTTTAAGTTTCAGACAGTATCTCACTAAATCGCTCATGCTAGTTTCAGTCCAGTGTTTTCTCCACCTCCCTAGTAACTGGGATAACTGGTGCACCATCGCACCTTATTCATTTTTTAAAGGACAATTTTACAAATCTGCTGATATTATTTATTCATAGTGTCTTTAGAAGTTTTTTCAAAATGTTATTATATCAAACTTTGTACAAAGCATAACCATTGTGAAAATGAGGTCATCTTGTGTCAGATTCAATGTGTTAAAGGCAAGAGAAAGTATTTGAAAGAGAAAGTATTAACCACAAAATACAAACTCTCTCTGCCACAATATTGAGGTTTTATGTTAAACATATCAATAATATGAATTTTTTACTTTAAAGTACTTGCTATTCATGACATTTAAAAATCAACTGTAAGTAATAATTTGCACATGAAGTGAATTCAATTTATGTATTCAGTATGATGTTTTGACAAATATTTATACCTATATAACTACCAAAAATCAACACATTGAAGATTTGCATTGCCCTAGGGATTCCTGTGCTTATTCTTAATCTATTCTCCCCACAAACATCCCTAACCCTAGGCAACTCTGTAGTTACGGATTAGATTTTCCCTTTTCAGAGTTCCACATAAAAGTAATCATATACTATGTAATATTTTGTGTCTGGCTTCTTTTGCTCTGCATAAATTTTATGCAATTTATTCATGTTGCACATACAGTAGTTTATTCCTTTCTATTGCTGAGTAATATCCCATTGTATGATTGCACTAAACTTTGTCTAATCACATGTTAATGGACACATGGGTTATTTTTAGTTTGGGGTGCTATGACTAAAACTGCTATGAACATTTGTATCCAAGTCTTTGTGTGAATATATGTTTTTATTTCTTTTTCTTAAATACCAAGAACGAAATTGCTGAATCATATGGTAAGGGTATACGGATCTTTTTAAGAAATTGCCAAATTGTTTTTCAAATCAGTGTTCTCTTTAGCCTTGTATGAGAATGCCAGTTGTTTCACATCTTTGCCAACATTTTGAAACATTAGTCACTTTAGTGGTGGTGTAGTGACATATCATTGTGGATTTAATTTGAATTTCCCAAATGACTAATAAGATCAAGCACCTTTTCGTGTACTGTTGACTACTTCTATATTTTCTTTGTAAAGTATCTATTCAAACTTTTTGCTCATTTTAAACAATGAGATTGTTCTATTGAGTTGTAAGAATTTGTTTTATATCTGGATACAGATTCCTTGTTAGGTAAATGTATTGTGAATATTTTCACTTTTTAATGTTGTTTTTAAAACAGTAAATTTTTACATTTTTGATGAACTCAATCTTTTTTTTTCTTTTTAGATTATTGCTTTTTTTCTCCCTTGTACTTGAGAAATCTTTTCTTTCTCCAAGGTCATAAAGATTCTGCTGTATTCTTCTAGAAGTTTCATAGATTTAGCTTTTATGGTTGGCTCTATCATCCATTTCTAGATAATATTTGCCTATGATATATAAAAGTCAAGATTCATTTTTATATGGATATCCAATTGTTACATTTATTAAAAAGATTATACTTTCCATATAGAAGTACCTTAACTCTTCTTCTTATCATTTAAAAAAATTTTTGGTACTGAGGATTGAACTTGGGGACACTCAACCACTGAGCCACATCCCCAGCCCTATTTTGCACTTTATTTAGAGACAAAGTCTCACTGAATTGTTTTTGCTGAGGCTAGCTTTGAACTTGTGATTCTCCTGCCTCAGCCTCCCCAGATGCTGGGATTACAGGCCTGTGCCACTGCAACTGGATAATATCTTAACTATTTGACTGAAATCAGTTGACTCTATACAGATGGCTCTATGTCTGGACTCTTATGTTCGGTTTCATTGATCTATGTGTCTCTTTATGCCTACCACACTGAATTGAAAATTGTAGTTTTAGAATAAGGTTTAAAACTAAGTCTGTACCTGTTCCAATTTTGTTCTTCCCATACATTTCCATATAACTCTTAAGAGTTAGCTTGCCAAGTTAAAAGAAAAAAATCTGCTGGGATTTGGGGTGAACTGACATTTTCATAGTACTGAGTCTTCCAATTCAGTAACATGCAATAGTTGTTTATTTCTTTCAGCAGTGATTTATGGTTTTCAGTAGTGAGTTACAGTTTTTAGTTACAGGTGTAGGGCATGTTTTATTGAATTTATCCCTATATAGTTAATGTTTTGGGATGGTAATAAATATTGTATGGATTTAAACTTAATTTTCCATTTTTTTTTTTTTTTTTTTGCTGGTATGTAGAACAATAATTGTTTTTTGTCACGCTGTCTTTGTTTCCTGTCCCTAGTTTTAGTAGCTTTTTCCCTTAGGATCCTTAGGATCTCCTAATTGTTCTTCTAATTATTCAACGTTATCATTTGTAAGTACAAATGGTTGTATTTCCTCCTTTCTGATTTGATAGGGTTCCATGGTATTCATCAAATTTGAACAATTTTTTTCAGCCATTTCTTTCCAAAACATGCCTTGGACCCACTCTATGGCCTTCTTCCTCCTTTGGTCTTCCTGGAAGTTTTCTAAATTCCCCAGAGTGGGCAGATAGTGTCACCTGGGCGAGGCTCTCAGAGCGAGACCAAACCATACTGGGTCCTGATTTCTCCCTTTGGGTGCGCGCCAGGATGACTGGAGAAGCCAAGGAGCCCCTAAATTGGTGTCTAGGGGTGGTACGGTGGTCCTTTCCCTGGTGTTCACGGCTAGGCTTGGAAGCGATCCAGGAAAACTTAACTTGCTGATAGCTTCTGTAGGTTTGTGCAGAATTTGTTTCGCTGGACTAAGGAAGATGTGTCACCAGAATGGTGGCAAACACACTAATTTGAGGTGACAAATTTTTGGGAGGCCTGTGCATGTTTTTCACAAACAGCTCCGTGAGATAGATGTTTAAAATTATTCTTACCTTCACTGAGGAAACTGAGGAAAAGAGAGGTTAAGTTGCCCACATTCACACTGCTAATGAGACAGGTGGAGTCAGGAATTTAGGGTTTGAATTTCAGTAATCTGACTCCAGAGCCTGTCGTCTTAACCTGTGTGCTTTAAGGGGAAAGAGGGGAGAACTACCAGGAGAAAGCACGGATCTTGAAAGGAAGAAGGGAAAAAAAATGAAAGAGATACATAGAATAGAGAATAGTGGGATACCAATAGTGGGATACTCTTCCTGTCTGGCTGGGAAGAGTTCTGATTAGTTTCATGACTACGTTACCTTATTATCTGTTCAAACTCTCCCTCTCCCCGCTCCACTTGGCCCTAGGGATTGCCCCTAGGGGCGCTTGTACCACTGAGCTACTTGCCCAACCCTTTTCATTGTTTATTTTATGATAGGGTCTTGCTAAATTGCTGTGGCTGGCCTACAACCTGTGATCCTCCTGACTCAGCCTCCCTAGTCGGTGGGATTACAGGAGTGCTCCATCATGCCCGATTCAAACTTTTCTTTTTTGGTGTTTTCTCATGTCCTCTTTTCCTCTACCTTCCCCAAACCATCCATCGTTCTGCGCTGAACAGTTATATCCACGGCTCCGGTAGAATCCACCGAAGTGGGGCAGTCTCATTGTAATAATTCACCTTCTACATGCCCATCTAACCAGCAAAAAATGAAACGGGGCGAAGGGGTGCTTCTTCCCTAGAAGACAATGAATCTTTGGCGGGAAGACCCACTTTTGGACTCCAAGGCTAGAAACTGCTTTACAAGTAAGTTTGCAGCAAGGTGCACATCACCAGGGCGCAGGACGTCTGGGGAGTCTGTCTAGGAAGACGCTTCCCCAGCTAGCAAGCCGATATATTCTCCAAGGAAGCGCAAACCACAGCGCCTCCTGCGAAAAGTGACCAGGGGCTCGCGGACCAGAGGCCCCACTGCCCAGGCCCTGCGGACCGGCCCCCGGGCTGGCGTTCTCCCGAGAGGCGGGAGCGGGGACGGGGGCGGGGCGGCGGCCGGGGGCGCCCGCTCCTCCCCCTCGCGGACGGCCGGGCTGACGGCGCTGAGCCCCCTGCGCGCGGCACATGGGGCGCTTGACCGAGGCGGCGGCAGCGGGCAGCAGCGCTTCAGCGGCTTGCTCCGCCGGGTCCCCTCCCACTCCCCTGCCCCTTTTTTCCACGTCCCCCGGGAGCGCGGCCACCATGGCGTCCAGCGAGGAGGACGGCACCAACGGCGGTGCCTCCGAGGCCGGTGAGGAGAAGGAAGCCACGGGCAGGAGAAGGCGCCTCAGCTTCCTGGCCACCGCCTGGCTCACCTTCTACAACATCGCCATGACCGCAGGGTACGTGTGCCCCGAAGGTCCTTCACCACCCACAGGCCCTCCTCGCTCTGCTGCCCCCCGACCTGCCGGGAGCAGGGTGCGGGGTGCGGACCGGGAAGGCGCGGCTCCGGCAGCGAGCGGCTCGGGCGCACCGGGTGCGCGCGGACCCGGCTGCGGGCTGGCGGCGGCGGCGCGGGGGTGGGCGCGGCGCCGGGGTCGCGGGCGGTGGCCGTGGGGGAGGGGCGCGGGCGCCTGCCCCGCCGCCACCCGGGTTGAATGGAGCGGGGCGGGCGGGGGAGCCGGGCGCTGCTTGCTGGGCATTGCCTAATACGGTGCATGGCGCGGCGCAGCGGCCGGGGCGCGGGCCGGAGGTTAAGTATAGACCGGGGCAGGAATTCGGGACCGACCCGCGGGGGAGGCGGCCGGGCACGGTCGCCCGCTTTGCCACCGCCTTCGGCTGCCGTTGAAGGAACGCCCGCGCCCTGCCACTCAGGAGCCCCGAGCCGCCCGCACAGACTGCAAATCCGCTTTGAGGGCCGGTTCCTCAAAGCAGAGCGTGCGGTTCCTGGTGCTGCAGATCCCAGGGCAGTTTTTCTTCACTGTTAATTTCGCCTTAACTCTTCATTAATTAATTAAATTTAAAGCATTGTATGTCTTAGAGCTTCTTATGTGGAATAGTTTTTTTTAAACCCTGTCTTATCAGAGCACGACAGTTGTGTCCATCATCTTTATGGCTGCACATTCCATTACTGATACCCTGTCCTTTTTATTTCTGGCTCGTCTTATGACTTACAAGTGAGATTTACACAATAACTGTTCACTCTTCAAAGAGCTGTATTGATGACTTCTGTGTCAACTTGTTCCCCAAACCTGGGAGAAAATGCTTTTCAGTTGCAAAATTACATCGCCTTTTGAAAAGTGATTTTTCCCAGTGTCACACAAAGTATTATTAACCTATATAAATGTGAGAAGTTTACTATTTTAAACTTTCTCCAGGGCTTATAGAAAAAAAATGTGATTGATAAAGATTTAATAAACCTTTTAGTGCGGTATTATAAGCTTAGCCTATTATACTGAATACCAAAAGTAGTATATGAATATATATTAATTGAGGAATTACTATGTGCCAATTACTGTGCTGGTTTTTCACATGTATTAACTGTTTTTAATTCTCCACATCCTGCAAGGGCACATGATAGTACATTTTATAGGTTAGGAAACTGAGACTCAGGTCAAGATCACAAACAGCACCTAGAGTTGTCCTACTTCATCTTTGTGCTTTCCTAAGTTTTATAATCTTTTTTAAAATATTTTTTTTTTAGTTGTAGAAGGACATAATACCTTTATTATTATTATTTTTTAATGTGGTGCTGAGGAACAGCCCAGTGCCTCACACTTGCTAGGCAAGTACCCTACCACTGAGCTACAACCCCAGTTTTATAATCTTGACAGGAGACAAAAATAATATATTCAAAGCAAATGGAGAACAATTTAGTGTTCACCATGTGATGCTGCCTTGAAATTCAGTTGGGACTGAAAGATTTCTCTCTGCTCTTGGATAATTTCATTAATTTAATAAACATCTTTAGAACACGTGCCTTGTGTTAATTCATTCACTGTCCCTTTCCTTTATGTCCACTCTCCACTTTGAAGGCCAGATTACCATTTCAGACACTGCATTTTAAAGCCTTCAGTGAGAAGAAATAAGGATAAAAACAAATAAATAAAAACCAGCCTTTAGTGACTTTACACCTCCTCTCTAACGGATTTAGGCTGTCACTCAAGCCCAATTTCCCCTGCAGTCTTCTTACATTTGAAATCTCTATTGGTCCTCAAAGCACCAAGCATTTTTGTGGTCTTTGCTATGTTTGCCCAGTTTCTTCTCTCTTTGCATGGTGCCCTCCTTATTTTGCCCATGACTTCTAACCAAGTCAGCCTATTTGTAGTTTTCTAAGTCTTCTGTCTCCCCTGGGGCAGAATTAAATGCCTTCTCCTTTGTGTTCTAATATTTCATTCCTGTCTTCCCTACCATCCCCTGCAAACCAGTGTTTAGTCTAAACTTACCTGTTCTCTGCCTAAGAAGGTCCCTTGGCATTTTCATAAGGCAAGGGTAACCAAAGTGGAGTAATCCCTAAGAGACTTAGTGGAGACTTTCTACATGCATTGATATTTGAAGAATAGGATTTGCATACATACACAGAAGGTAAACATTTCAAGTTAGATGAATTCAGTTGCAAGCTTGGTACCTTGTCTTAAATCTGAGGATCATGTTGGGGATTAGTGGTAAATTGGATTGGAGAAGTGGTGGTGTCAATATTGGGACAAAAATAAATCCATTTAATGAAGTAGTAGAGGGTTAATGGAAGGTGGTTCTTTTTGTTCATTTAACACATTTCTCGTTCAGTGGAACTTTAGAGTGTTTATTCATTTTTTTGTAACAACATTGAAAACAAAATAGTATTTGAGAAATGTAACAAATATTTATATAAATGTAAAAAAGAACTTGTCTAATTCTATAAGCCTAGCGTAAACTTTTCGGTTTTTCTTTATCACCTTTCATATGAGTGTCTAATCTCCAAATTACAAATCTCCCTTCTAAGGGAAGCTTTACCTGGGCATCTTCATACAGATAGCAACCTACATGCTAATACTCCTCTCCCTTACCTGCTTTATGTTTCTCCATCCCATCTATGAGCCTGTAACTGTACCACATATTTTACTAATTTTTCATTGCTTATTATTGTCCTCATTAGAGTATAAACTTCAGGCAATACTCAGTAAATATTTATTGAATGAATGAATGTATACATATTTTAAGGCATTGTTGTTACAATAGCTGCTCTATTGTGTATACTCCTGTTTGCACTTAACAAGTGTTTCTATATAGTTTTTATAATTGCACCTTTTCACGGTTATATAAGTATGTAGCATTAATGTACAGTGACAGATTAAATCATGTCCCTAATGACATTTTGCTTCTATTTGTTTCCCTTTCCTACATTGGATTTCCTACCTTCAACATTGTTACTGTTGAATGCTTTGGATAAGTTTCTAGGAGTAGAAACCAAGCTCTGAAGGATTTTCATAGTACTTGCTCATAATAGGGTCTTGACTAGGCAGATGAGCAATTCTCATATTCATTCTTTCTTTCCTTAAAAAATATTTTTGAGACCATATGTGTAAATGCATTGGCTTAGGTCAAGTAGGGGACATAAGATAAATATTCTAGGCCTGTCCTTGAAGTGCAACCCGGAGCATTTATATATAAACAATGATTGCAACAAAAGGACAGACTGAGATAAGTGTTTGACAGAGGTGTCAGAGGACAGACCTAGGGAGGGAGAATCAGAGAGAATTTTGTGAAGGAGATCATAGCATTTAAACTGAGCTTTGAAGGATAAGTAGGACTTAATTGGCATGAATGAGAAAACAACATGAATTAGGGTAGTGATGTGAAGTTGCTAGATATCCATTGAGGCAAAACCAAACAGGCCTGACATGTAGAATGGGAAGTACAGATGGACAAGTGCAGATGGGAAGTGCAAATGGCCCAAGCTAAGTAGCTTGGGCCACTGCTCAGGGCCTCAGATATTTTGCTGGTGTGTTTGGGTTTTAATCTGTCAGCAGTACTGGGCAGTGTCAATTAAAGGATTTTTTTCACTGCTTTGTTAATTGGGTTACCTTGGACAAGTTAACTTCTCTGATCCTTAGTTTTCTCATCTGTAAAATTGGAATGAAACAACTACTTTGTAAAATTGTTACGAAGAATAAAGAGAATAGAATTGAGGTTCTTAGCAAGATGCCTAATGCACAGGAACATAACATTTTAATGTTTAAAAATATTAATTCCTGACCCCCTTGTTTAAAATTGCACTTTTTGCAAAAAGAGAACTATTTAAAATATTTCTATAGTATACTTATTAAGTGTTACATAATACGTATGCCTTTTAGATACCTTTTTATTGCTGGGGAGGATAGATTATGTGGATTTACCCCAATTTGTTTATCTATTCATCTGTTTGAGTTCTTTCCACTTTGGGGCAATCATAATTAAGGTTGTGAACATCCATGTACGAAGTCAGTATATGAACATATGCTTTTATTTTTCTTGGATGAATACCTGTAAGTGGAGTGACTGTGTCATGTAATAGTCCCAAGTTTAATTTCTTAAGCAACTGCAGAACTGTTTTCCGTGGGAGTTGCACCATTTTTACCTTCCTTTGGGCAATGAATAAGACTTGCAGTTGCTGTACATCCTTGCCAGCATTTGGTATGGCCTATCATGGTGACTTTAGACATCCAGTAAGTATATTGTCTCCCTGTGGTTTTAGCTTTCATTTTCTTAGTGACTAATGATACTGCATATCTTTTCATGTGCTTACTTGCTATTTGTATGTCTTCTTGGGTATTAGTATCTGTTCACATATTTTGCCAGTTTTTTTCTTTAATGCATTGTTTGGTTTCCTCAGCTGATTTTTGAGATTTCTTCATATAGTCTAGACTTAGGTCCTTGCCAGACAGGTGATTTGCAAGTATTTTCTCTGAGTTGTGACTTGACTTTCATTTACTTAGCTGTGCTTCTCAAAGAGCAAATGGTCTAAATCATAATTGAGTCCAGCTTATCAGACTTTTTTTTTTTTTTCCTAAACCTTTGGGCTGAACTTTTTATTGGCATGAGTGCCTGTGTGCTCTCAGTGGAAACATTCATATGTTGGCTGCAAAAGAAAGTACAGATTTAGTGTACTAAAGGCAGTTTAGGGATGTTAATGAACAATGTATGAAAGTAAAGATGTGTGAAAGTGAAGACCATTTTTCATACATTCCTCCAAAGGATTGATTTAAAGGAGAAATGTAGAAGATATGACAAATTAGAATATCATATTTCAAAAACTGTTGAAATGATGGATCTAGGTAATGCACATCAATAACTGCTACCATCACAAGAAAAAAGAGGAACATTAAGAAATTATGTGCTCCTTATAGAAGTATCAAAACAACCTTTGAAAGCCTTGCCAGAGGATCAAACATGAATCTGATCAAGGTAACTACCTACCAATTTACAGGAAATACAGGGACAGAACATAATAAAATGACACGTGGGTATCCAATTAGCAAAATCCAGACTGCGAGTAACTCTTCAGGAACAACCACCCAGTGTTTCACAGATAAACTGCAAAAGAGATAGAGGGAAGGCAAGATGTAGGGGGGAAACCTATTGAGGGAGTCATGAGAGACTTACCAATAATTACAGTATATGAATCCTATTTCAGTCATGATTTTAAAAGATTATGAAACAATCAAAATTATAGCTTGTCTTAATATTTTATGACATTGATTTTTTTAACATCGGATATAGTGGTATTATAGCTTTACCTATTAAAATAATCATATCACTGCTGGGCATGGGTGGCACACGCGTATAACCCCAGTGGTCAGGAGGCTGAGGCAGAAGGATTACAAGTTCAAATCCAGCCTCAGCAATTTAGCAAGGCCCTATGCAACTTAATGAGAACTTATCTCAATAAAATATAAAAAAGGCTGGGAATGTGGCTCAGTGGTTAAATACCCCTGGATTCAAAACATGTTACCTCCCCCAAAATCATTTTAGAGATACATAATGAAACATTTATAAATCATTGGATATTGGATATCTGATTCAAAATAATCAGGGAAGAGAAAGAAGTAGAGATTTGGATGAAACAGGATTTTCCATAGGATATTAACTGTTGAAGCTGCATCATGGGCACATGGAGGGGTTTATTATACCATTCTCTACCTTTCCCTATATGTTTGAAACTGCTTACAGAATGTTGGATTGTTTTTTTAAAGGAGATATAAGTATAGGTAACTAAGTTTTTCAGGGAACAGGTGGTCAGTCTCCAAGAAATCTCAAAAGAAAAAGAAGCCCTGGAAGATAGCTGGAAGAAAGAGGTGCCCCTTCAATAGGCCCCTGAGGGTCATTGTAGCCATAGTGGCTTGAGAAGGAGGCCTCTGTGTTGTGTAAGTTATGCCACATTTTTCTTGTGATAGCACTATTCTGTTATCTTCACTTACTAATTTAATAGTTCCCCCAAACAAAAACTATGTCCTATATATCTCTAGTTCCCTAGCATCTAGCTCAGTGCCAGCTTAGCAAGAAATGTTGAATCTGAAAGATGAATGAATAAATAAATGAATTTAGCAAGGAAGAAATCTTTATATTGAACTTATTTGTATTTGCCAAAGAGATTCTGTTTTACCAAGGGCTGATTGATTGCCTCTATTTGGGTTCAGGTAATCAATAGCTGTGACATATTTACAAACAAAACAGAACAGAACATCCCCAAAAATGATTTATAGTGTCAGAAATTGTAGTTACTTTTCAATTTTTTTGTTTTATTAAATGACTGAACTGATGGATGAAGGACGTCCAAAGTTAGTTAAATGTAGGATCCTTAGAAAAACTTTGTCATTTCTTTTGATGGGGGCATTTAGGATATGAGTTCTAATTAGTTTAGAGTAGATCGTGGCATTATTTACTGAAAAAGAGAGAAGCAGTTAGAATAGATGGTTCAGTGACTCTTTTGAACCCTAGAGTATATTCATTTATTTTGAACAATGTAGCGATTGCTATACTTATTGGTACAATACTGCCACCTATGGAACAACAGTAAAACTTTTCATTAGAATGCATGGGTTGTTTTTTTTTTTGCATAATGCTATTAAAAATTTGGAAAACTTGCCATTTAAATTTATTCTTCAGTGAATTCTTTCACTTACCATAATTCTTATGCTAAGTGAAGCAGTTGTATAGTGGAAAAATTATAACTCAGATTAATTTTTAATTAATAGTTATAGCTCAGATTTATATTTTATAGACATCTGAGTTGAGTTTGCCTAAACAAAGACAAAGGTATGGGAAAATGTTTAAGTTTATTAAGCTCATTGAGCTTTTTGTTTTCTTATCAGAAGCATAGGGACTTGGGATTGTGGTTAATGAACTCCTAACATTTTAAGCCTGAAAGGTACCTAAAACATCCAGGTTAGCATTCTATGATTAGCCCATCATTGAATTTGATGTTGATGTTCACACGAGAAGAATCTAAGAGTGGAATTCAGTGAAGGAGTTGTATAGTGGAAAAAGAATAAAACTGGCGGTTTGGAAACCTCAGAGGTTCTAATGAAGCCTTGTTGGTGAACTTAATCTAAGGCTTAGGGTCAGTAACTTAAATGTCTCTGGGTAATGATTATCTCATCAGAAAGAGCGGTTTTCAAACTCTTTTGGAAAGCAGACTACTATGAGTTAAAATATTTGAGCCTAGACTTCCCCCATATGATTTTCATGATGTATCAGTAGTATGAATTTAAGTATGAATTACTATGATCAGCTTCTATCTAAGGGTATAGAATCAGATCAGTGCAACATAGTGTTTAGAAGCAGAGCCCCTGATGGTTTTAGCCTCTGGTGGTTTTAGGTCCAAGCAGACTGATTGTGTGTCCTCAGCAGTAAAATAGGATAATACCTGATAGGGTTATTATAAAATTAAGTGTGAATATGTAACAGTGTCTAGAACATAGAAAGCAATCTAAGATATGCTTATTATTATTGTTGTTATCAATATTTCTGCATTTCAGATGTCTGATCATTTCATTTACTTCCTATTGTATCTGATAAGAAAGTCATTGCTCTTACTTGGGTATATGCTAAGGAGGAATTCTAGGAGTGGGAGTGTCATCCCGCCGTGTTCTTACTGTTCTGTTGAGTTGTGTCTTCACTCTATTCAACCACTGATTTCTTTGCAGGAAACTTTTAAAGCTGTCTGTCCATGGCATGAGGGTTGTTTAGTTAAAAACTTAAAACTGTATAATTTCATAATTTGTAAAACCACTCAACTGGATGCTTTGAAGACTGATCTACCAGACGGGGCTAGCTCCTCATTTCCATGGGTGTGTTATTCAGACTTTTGAAACAGGGAAAATGAGGCAACTTTTTTCAGTTTCAGCATGCTTTAGTGTTTGTAAGGGAAACTCTGAAAAAAATTACTTCTCATTGGTTACTCAAGGAAGAGTGAGAAGCAGTATGAGAAAGCTAATGGCCAGAGTGTGGCGTATATTTTAAGTACAATTAATTCTTGGAACAGAATCTGTATTTAATATATAAAGGTAAGCTGAAAAGTGAGGGTTAATGTATTTCGGGGGGGTTTCTTAAATTAAAGTTTTGAAGGTAGACCATGTCTGATTTTCTGTCTATCCTTTCTGTGGTATAGCATCTGTTTTTATTCTGTGAAAATTATGTAAATAGTAATTGATGATTCTTATTCAAGATTTCTACTTATACCCGTATATATTACATAGTTGCATAAAATATGTATTTATACACACAAGTGCAGCTTTTGACAGATTTTTACCTCATGACACCTTCACATAATTTTATTAACTTCTAAATGATAGTGTCATTTTTGGTACATAAAACTATTTTCTGAGTCCAGAAATAAACTGGACAGTGTCTTCTCTGGTTGGTCTCATGTGTTCTCTTCCTGCCCTTCCAGAATCAATATAATAATGCCTTTTCTGCTTTTGTATTGATTGAAGAAGAAATAAAATTGATTAATAAATATATGAGAAAGTGTTCATCATCTCTAGCAATTAGAAAAATGCAAATCAAAACTACTTTTTTAAAATATATATATATATTTGTTGTTGTTGTTGTTGTTGACACAGTGCCTTTATTTTATTTATATATGGTGCTGAGGATCGAACCCAGGGCCTCACACGTGTTAGACGAGCACTCTTCCACTGAGCCCCAGTCCCAGCCCCTCAAAACTACTTTAAGATTTCATCTCACTCCAGTCATAATGGCAGCTATCAGCAATATAAGCACAATAAGTGTTGGTGAGGTTGTGGGGGGAAAAGGCACACTCGTACATTGCTGGTAGAACTGCAAATTGGTGCAACCACTCTGGAAAGCAGTATGGAGATTCCTTATAAAACTTAGAATGGAACCACCATTTGACCCAGCTATCTCACTTTTTTGTCCATACCCAAAGGACTTAAAAACAGCATACTACAGAGATCCAGCCACATCAATATTTATAGTAGCTCAACTTACAATAGCTAAACTATGGAACCAACTTAGGTGTCCTTTGGTAGCTGAATGGGTAAAGAAAATGTGGTGTAGATACACATGGAATATTATTCAGCCTTAAAGAAGAATGAAATGATGGCATTTGCCAGTGAATGGATGGAGCTGGAGACTATCATGCTAAGCAAAATAAGCCAATCCCAAAAAACCAAAAGCTGAATGTTTTCTCTGATATGGAGATACTAATTCACAATAAGCATGGGGCGTGGGGCTAGAGAAGAATAGAGTTACTTTGAATTAGGCAGAGAGGAATGAAGGGAGGGGCGGGGGTATGGAGGTAGAAAAGATAACAGAATGAATTGGACATTAATACTCTAGGTGCATAGATGATTATGTGACCAGTGTGATTCTACATCATGTGCAACCAGAAGAAAGTTATGCTCCATTTATGTATGATATGTCAAAGTGCATTCTTCTGTCATGTATAATTAGAACAAATAAAAAAATTGTGGTAAAATATGCATAACATTTACCATCTTACCTTTTTAAAATGTGCATCTCAGTGGCATTAAGTATATTCACATTGTTATGCAGCCATTAACATTGTCTGTGCCCCTAGCTTATTTTACTTGTTTCTTTGTAGTTCATCCACATCATGGCATTTGTCAGAGTTTCCTTCCTTTTTAAGGCTGAATAATATTCCATTGTGTGGATAGACCATGGCTTATCCATTCAGTCATTGATGGACATTTGGGTTGCTTCTGCTTTATAACTGTTGTGGATAATGCTGCCCAAACATGCAGTGGTATGAATTTAATAGAACTTTATAAAATACTTTTTTTCTAGGTGGTTGGTTCTGGCTATTGCCATGGTACGTTTTTATATGGAAAAAGGAACACACAGAGGTTTATATAAAAGTATTCAGAAGACACTTAAATTTTTCCAGACATTTGCCTTGCTTGAGGTAAGTTTTCTATCGTGCTATTTCTCTATGTTGCAGTATTTTTTGAAAATATTTTTGTTGATCAGTGTCAATCTTATTTTGCTACTTAACCACCTACAGATTGGTTTAATACCAGTGTTGAAGGGGAGTTATTTTATATAATTGACTTTTGATTTTTTTTTATTTGCTTACAGATAGTCCACTGTTTAATTGGTGAGTTTTTGCTCTGATTTTATCTTTTCATTATGATTTGCCTTTAGGGCAATAGTTGACTTGTTTTTCTCTTCAAGGAATTGTGCCTACTTCTGTGCTTGTGACTGGGGTCCAAGTGAGTTCAAGAATCTTTATGGTGTGGCTTATTACTCACAGTATAAAACCGGTAAGTAATATAAACATGCTGTGTTCTTGAGCCTGCAGTGAAGCTTTCCATTTATTGATGTCTAAAATATTAACATTTGCATATTTCAGAAAGCAGAATATTTAGGCAAAAAAGAATTGGATTTAAATTTAAGTATCATTCTATGTTGATTTCGTGCTGTGATAGACTGACTTTGAAAAATAAACAACCAAATTATTGACATTTTTACCCACAATATACTCTTCTCTGATGTTTATAGTGGTTTTTAAAATTAACATTCATCTTCTGTCAGATACCTAAGTGAAAATTTTCTATAAAATATTTTTATAAACAGTTTATTTTTCCTCATTTAGCATTAGTATTCTTGCACATTCAAAAAGTAAATGTAGTGGGTCTGAACAAATGGAAAAGACTAAATTAAAAGTGAGTTTTTTTTTTTAAATAATCAAAGGGTATAAAATCTCAGTTAAGCAAGAGGAATAAGTTCAAGAGATCTGTTGCACAACATGGGAAATGTAGTTAATTAAAAGGTATTTCTAACAGTAGGTTTTCAGTGTTCTCACCACAAATACATGCCAAATCTATGAAGGAGTACACTTGTTAATTAGCTTGCTTTAGCCATTCCATAACGTCTATGTATTTTAAAACACCATGTTTTACAGTGTAAATATGTGCAATTTAAAAAATATATATATTTTTAGTTGTAGAGGGACACAGTATCTTTTTACTTTTGTTTATTTTTATGTGGTGCTAAGGATCAAACCCAGTACCTCACACGTACTGGGCTAGCGCTCTACCCCTGAACTACAGCCCCAGCCCAAATACGCGCCATTTTAATTTGTCAATTAAAGCATAATCTTTAAAAAAGGTAGGGTCAAAACACTTAGGGAAAATATTATTTATGGAGGCATGAAAAGAGACAGACTTAATTACTGAATCTAATTAATGGCTTAAGTCTTTTTAGACAAAACAAATACCAGGCCGATGCTGTCAAGACACTGGGCTTTTTAAACCTACTACGGAAACATTTCCCTGCTCGACCCCTCTGACCTTCTTGACAGCCCTGGTAGCCTACTGTCTACTTGAGGACAGATCTCTGGCCTCCTTTCCATTCTGCAGATGCCTTTCTTGTCTCCTCTGTGCTTTGGGACTGGCACCTAACCTCCTCTCCATTTCCTCTTAGCCTCGCTGGCCGCCTGTCTGCTTGGGGACAGATCTCTGACCTTACGCCCTTTTACTGCTCCACACTGTTGGCCCTCTTGATTGGTGTGTTTCACTCCACTTTCTGGATCCACCCAGTCCCTAACCACGGTACCCATAGCTGTGAGCACATGCTGCAGGGAGAGGCAGCCTCTTCATTGATTCTGGTTGCTTCCCAACTTAAAAGCAGGAATACAACATTATCAGAATAAAAGACAGCCCAGACTGTCTCTTCCAGGCCACAGAGGATCTGAAGAAGGAGGGAGAAGAAAGACAAAGATAGGAAAGCCAATATGCACTAGAGAGAGAAGAAATTAAAGTAACACTGCTATGGAGTGGCAAGTTCCAAAGAGGGGGAAAAAAAAAAGGATCTTTCCTTTTATCCAGAGAATCTGTCCCTTAGTATTACTTTTTCTTTTTGTTCCATAATAGTTTTCCATTGGCACCTATCAGCCACTTCTTAATTAATTCAACATTTATTGAACACATTTGGTATACTTAGCAGAGTTCTAATTTCTGCATTTACAAAAATAAATAAGGTAATACAAGCTGTCAAGGTACTGGCTATTGGGAAGTGGGGCGGGGGGGGCAGCAGTTCAACAAGCATTGAATCATGGAACAGGTACTAACTGCAGCTGTTCAATGCCTGACACTGTGGGATATGGCTGTTATAACACAAATATGGTTCCCATCTCAGGGAGCCCAAAATTAAGAGAGAAGATAAGTAAGTGGTAACACAAATGCTTATTTAATTATATTAGTGTTAAGTGCTTTAAAACGAGAGCCCAGTTTGCATTGCAATAACCTAGGGACCAAGTCCTTTCTAGGGAGTGATAAAGTGAAAAAGTGATATGTAAGTTGAACACAGACAGATATACAAGAATTAGCCAGAAGAAATTTTAATACAGATTGGCACGTGTTGTGTTATATACAAATACAAACAAAATACTGTGAGCACAAGGAAGGTGAGCAAGTAACTGCTCAAGTGCGAGGAGACTTAGGAAAGTTTTCCAGAGGGTATAATCTTTTAGCTGATGAGGAAAGATTTTCTATGGGAAACAATAAGGATTAACATTCTAATCAGATGGAATAATGTGTAAGGACCCAAATGTTCAGAGTATATATTCTGGAAATAACACAAAGTTTAGTGTTACCACAATGAGAAGCAGGTGGGAGGATTGCATGGTTGTAGATGAAGCTGGACAGGTTTCTGAGCTCAGATTGTATGGAACCCCAGATATCATGCTCAAGGTTATAGGATTTATCCCTTTACCCCATTTAGCAACAGGGGAGCAGTGAAGCTTTTAAATCATTAAGATTTAGCTGATTTTGTTTGTTTGTTTGTTTGCTTTGTTTTGTTTTTAAGAGAAAATTTTCATCCATGAGGAAAATAGAGGATAAACTGTTTAGGAGATGGTCACAGTAGTCTGGATAAGAAATGATAAGGTGCTGAATTAAAATAGTCGTAATCAGGACCAAGACCGGGGGGCAGATTACAGAGTTCGTATCATAGTAGAATATGTGTGATGTGTGACTGGATGACTAATAGAATGTTGGAGAGACCGATTGTTGCCATTCTGCTTTCAAGGAGATGATGGTTGGAGTTACTGGCTGGAGTGAAGGATGAGGGAGAAAAATCAGTAAATAGTTGACCATTCCTGTGAGTAGGATGTACTTAACTTCCATGTTAGTAGCTAATTATACAGTGGTAACTGCCTTAAGTTTTCTGTGTTGCATTTGCCTTCCCCACCCAGTCCATTTTAATAAAAAAACAATAAATAATCAAAATAATTAAGATGTATCTCTCTTTGACAAGTAAGTTCAGGGTTGAACGACACTGGATTTCTCTGTACTTCTGCAGATCCAGAATGAGGAGAGTGTGGTGCTTTTTCTGGTGTCGTGGACGGTGACTGAGATCACTCGCTATTCCTTCTACACATTCAGTCTTCTCGACCACTTGCCATACTTCATTAAATGGGCCAGGTGGCGATGTCTTGCAGTTTAGCTTTTTACCATCCTGTGCATGCTTTTTGTGTGCTGAGCTAACACCCGAGAATTAAAATTTGTGTTGCAGCTCACGATGCCAGAATGCGGTTGTTCTGGTTATTAGCAGTGTTATAACTTGTATTCTAGAAGCTTAATTTAATGATCAGAGGTGAATCGTGTTAATATGCATTTTGTGTGAAATTGAAACAAGATAAATCCTTAAGTAATCTCAGAACCAGTCATTTATTTTTCTTTGAAAGTATGATATGTACTTTTGGAATTACATTAAAGCTGTACTAAATATGTGGTATTTTATCTGATTGATTTAAATCATTTTAATATTCAGTCTGACATCCACAATTTTTAACTTCTTATATAACAGTACCTGTTTTTTCTTTTGTTCTAAATAGTAGAGACAGACATTTTCTTGAAATTGTATTAGGAATGTGAACCAAAGTTATATTTTAGGGGTTCCAAATATGTCTATCCTAAACTAATAGTTCTAAAAACAAAGATATAGCCAATTATCTTTAAAAATATAATTTTTAAGATATTATCTTAAAAAGATAATATCTTTTTTTTTTTTTTTTGGCTACTTGGGGATTGAACCCAGGATTGCTCTGCCACTGAGCCACATCCCCATTCCTTTTTATATTTGAATCGGAGTCTCATTAAGTTACTAAGACTGGCCTCAAAACTTGTGATACTCCTTCCTTAGCCTCCCCAGTCACTGGGATTACAGGTGTGTACCACCACACCCAGCTCCTGTTCTTTTTGAATTCTTTGGGCAACTAGTATTTTACAAAGATATTTAGAAACAAAACTGCTCTTTGGAGACCAAATCACAAACCAGTATAGATTTGTCCATTCCATTCTCTTTGTTGTGTTTATAGTAGTAATAACATAATAACAGCTGGTGTATGCTGGCTTCACACCTGATGCGCAGCTATGAACCAAACACAACCAGAGGTATCGTCTCATGAAGAAGACAAAAAGTTACAAAACTAATAGGTTCATGATAAGTCAGGAGGTGGTAAGTGCAAGATGTACTCCCATCTCTGAGTATGACAGTAGTAGTTAACTGATGCCTTATGTAGAATAATTAGATATATAGTAGTGATTTATTATAGTAGTAAATAAAAGTAATGTTTTCATTGTAAAAAGCTCAGAAGTATATAGAATAAACATGATCAGTTCCTGCCCAGCCCACATGCTTCCTTTAGAAGGGAAAACCAGAATTACACAGACTTTTTTAGGAAAAAAAATATAAAAACACAGGTGTGAATTTTCAAAACATAAGTAGGGTGATACTATACTTGGTTTTTGTTTATATCTTGGAGCTCTTTTTTTTTTTTTAATCAGTACAGGTAAATTTTGATCTCTTTCTTTAATATTCTAATGAACCAATTCTCATTCTAAGTGAACCAGTTCTCTATGGTTGGAATTTAGATTGTTTCCAGTCTTCTGATAGTATAAGTAATGCTTTGACATCCTATATCCAATGCTATATTTCTGTTATTTTTTTTAAAAAAACTCTGATATTTGTTAGTTTCAGATCCTCATAAGAGCCTAACACTTTCTCTTAATTGATTACCTTTTTTTATAGCTCATGTATTATACATGTTCAAATATAATAAATTAGAATATATAAATTAAAAAAAGGAAATAGCTTTAAAATCCATCTATACAAGAATGACCACTGATCTGATCAAGGATTATGTTCTGTTATATTGTCTCTCAGACTTTTAAAAACATTCTTTTTTAGACATTTGTGATTTACCACTTTACATATAATAAAATTCTTTAAGATTATATTTTTAGTTTAAATATATTGTCTTTCACAAGAAGGTTGCTCTACCGTTTATAGATGTCTGGTTGATTTTATCAGTGTCCTACATAAATATATATCCACTTTTAATGATTGAACCTTTTACAGGGTTGGCGGTTTTGAATGTAGTTGGACTTAGAATGCATATCAATACCATTTTGCATGATAGTCTTTGGGACCTCTGGTGTCTTTAAAAATATTGACTCATGGCATAGACTCTTTTAATTGGCTATATTTACAAAATTTGTTTGAAGAAGGTAACAATGAACCTTATGCATTTTCCTCAGGTCATGCACATTAGTCTTTGATGGTTTGTCTCTGTGCCTTTTGCAATGCATTTGCATGTCTTGCTTTTCTAGAAAAGCACAAAACTGCCATTGTGTGCCTAAGTTTTCTGTTTAGAAAAGATTTGTCAATTGCCTTAATGTTAAAAATGATGCAATGTAAAATCTTTCAACTTTGAAATGCATGTGCTATCATAATCCTTGTCATTTAATCACAATCATAATTACATTTCCTGTCCAAAAAAATCTTAAAAATCTCCACTGTCTGATTATATTTCAACCTCTTTCAGTAATCTAAAATAATAATAGTTTTTAAATTCAAATGTGGAAGCTATTGTTCTCAAATAAAACTTCACTTTAAAAATTGCTTCCTATTTGGCCTACAGACATAATTTAAATGTATTTTGATTCTGCTTATGTGTCGAGGGTGTTCTTGGAAAACTTCACAGAATAGATAATTGTACAGTGGGTTATGTTTTCAAATTCCCTTCCATTTTAATTTCAAAAGTGCATTCCCTCTAAACTATTTGAGGTGACAGTTGGGAATCTTCAAGGAAGTGTTACATCTTTCTGAATGTGGATAGTTAAATCTCCTGTAAGTCTACCCTCAGAACTTAGTGACACATGTAATTTTTTTTTAAAGTACAAGTAGAGTCAGATAAGTTGTATTAGACATTTTCACTGTCTTTAAGGATTTAAAGAAATTTACTCTAGGAGTGATAATTTTTTTTTCTATTAAAAAACAGTGTTACCCAAAAAGTCATTTGAGAGCCACATAAAATAAAAAACAATCAGTTTGGGTTTTTTTTTTTCCTTGTGAAAAGAATATAAAATTTTCAGTTACATAATTTTGTTAACTTGAGATAGGAAAAGATTGATTTAAATATTGCACAGATAACTATACAAGACTGGTAAGAAAGCAGGGTTAAAACCAAGGAGAGAATAAATGGGTAGAGGAAAGGGAATCTTTTTTCTTTCACCATTAATTCATTTTGGCAAATAATTGTGTTGTTCTTTCGCGCATCACTTATCCTCATAGATTTGTGGTCCAGAGGAATCGGGTGATTTTTAAGTTGTCTCCAAGCTGCTTCAACCATCAAATTTAACTTCTATAAATGTTTCCAAATGCCAGCAGTGATTAAATAAGACACAGATTGACTTGATTTCTTTTTCCATCAACATTTTGACCTTACTTTTCGATGGTAACTGCTGTATAATGAATGACTTGGAGAAAAGTAATTTTCTTTAGTGAGGAAGTGTCATTGTTTTGGAACCCCTAGGCTCTTCCTGTGTGAGACCAGGAGAAAACCGGGTGTTCCCCTCATAAACAAGGCCTGGCCCTCTCTGGGCTAGAGACCTTGCCAGGGGCCAGATGAACTAGTGGTGATTTTGGAGTTTGAATAGAAATTTCCAGCTCTATTTTTAAGCAAAAGAACTGTATATTTCTTTGAATACATAGTAATTTGTCTTCTTTTATTCTGAGAGCAGTTTGAGACAACACACTCCTTAGTAGTTAACTGATGCCTTATGTAGAATTGTTAGTTCTATAGTAGTAGTTTTAAAAATACCTTTTAAGGATAACTGCTGTGGACATTCTAAGGTTTAGATACACTAGGATCAAAACCAGCGTTTTTAACCACTGAACATTTGATCACTAAATAAACAGCCCAGCCATAGGGGGCAAAAAAGCAGTCCCTTATGATCCCATGCACCAAAGAAGACACCTTTACAATAATTAAAAGACTGCATTAAGAAACAAGTAGTGAGCCACAGGGGAGCACACCATCGTCCTAACTACCCGGGTGGCAGAGGCCAGCTGAGCCATTTAAGCACAGGAGTTTGAGACCAAGCAGGGCAACATAGCATGACCCTGTCTCAAAAAACCCAAAACTTTAAATGTATAAAACTATTTCAATACAGTGAAGTAAGTTCGCTTCTTATTTTACTAAGAAGATCTAGCCATTTAGAATGAAAACTGCCATTAGAAAAAACAGGAGGGATAGTTAATGAGTAAATGATTAAAGCAAAAAAATGGACCTACTTATGTGAGGTTATTGTAGGAGAGTCTCAATGTTTAAATGCATTCATTTTGAAAGTCTCATGTTATAAAATCCAAAGTGATTCCAGGAAAATAATTCTCTGAGGTTTTTTTCCTTTCTCCAGGTATAATTTTTTTATCATCTTATACCCTGTTGGAGTTGCTGGTGAACTTCTTACAATATATGCTGCCCTGCCGTATGTGAAGAAAACAGGAATGTTTTCAATAAGACTTCCTAACAAATACAATGTCTCTTTTGACTACTATTATTTTCTTCTCATAACCATGGCCTCATATATACCATGTAAGTATATATTTATTAGTACTTGTGTTTAACACATGCTATGCAGAATTTTAGAAAGGTGTCATAATAACCTAATGACTGCTCAAAATACATTAAAATTGCTCAGTACCATGTTTGTTTATAACTTAGAATAATTGAAGGGGGAATGACTTTTTAACTGGCTATGAGGAAAAAGGTAAGTAAATTAATACACAGTAATTGCTTTTTCAGAATCAGTTAAAAATAGATGTGCTTTGTACAATAAATTTTTCTAAAGAAAAAGAAAAACATTTGAAAAGTATGCTGTTTGTAAACATTTGGAATTTAAAATCATTTGTATCTGTTCATTAAGCATACTTGGAAAAATCATCTAGGAGTACTTTTTAGTCTGATTTGTGTTGCTCTGTGTACTAGAAAACAGTAAATATTTCTTTAAATATTTTCAATAATTCAGCCTCTTCACTAGCCTCTCATTATGTTTCAGTAGTTGAAATAAATTGGTAAGACTTTAAACATTTATTTAAATACTAATAAGATCTATTTTTAGATCAGATTTTGCTAGTCACTAGCAGGAAATAGAAGAGAAAAGGCAAGGTTGTTATGTACCTTTTCTCAGTGAAATGATAGACTGATGTAAGTGCGGGAAGAGAGGAAATGAAAGTCCATAGAATATCACCTAAAGGGGTGGGCATAAAACTTAGACAATACCTTGAGGTCTCTCTCCACCTTTGAAGTTTTTCCAAAATCAGAAGGTACTTGAGTGTTGTCTTCTAGCATTTCACCTAACTCTGTATCCGATTTTTCCATGCAAGCCAGTTCAGGAGGGCTCGGGAAGGTGTTCCTGCACTGTCACCCCCTTGCTTTCCCCAGTACCCAGTTAATGGTAACATGGCTTGAGCAGCAGCAGAGCCTGCATGACTTTTCAAAGTGTTACTGAATTCTAAATTCAGACTTGTTCCTCCTGATCATTAGGAAGGGGTATTTCTCAAGGTGTTTAAGTTTTCTAAACACAGAACAAACAAAAACATTCTCAAAAGTTTATTGCATTAAAATGTTTGGATCTAGAGCTTCATAATATGTTTGGGGGTTAGCAATAATATACACTGTGCTTTATTCCAAACACTGCCACATTTAACAGGTTTCAGGCATAAACAATTTAAAGCAATAGCTTATCTTTCTTTGTTTTCTTTTTTCAATTAAGTGTTTCCACAACTCTATTTTCATATGTTACGTCAAAGAAGAAAGGTGCTTCATGGAGAGGTGATTGTAGAAAAGGATGATTAAATGATCCCTACAAACAAGGTGCTTTTTCCAGAATAACCAGGATTACTTGAGTCCAAGTTTTAATAACAAGAATAAAGAACTTCATGAAATATCATGGAATGTATTATTGTTTCTTAAAATATATCTGAGACTAATGGTGTTTGCCAATATTTGTCTTCATATTGTGCCAAGTCCATTTTTTAGAAGAACTGTATAGTTATTATGAGTTCCTGGGTAGATGTTGATCATTTAGAAAATAACTGGGTGTATTACCTGGGGGCAGGGATCTTTTTATTTTACTAATTTTTTTTTGCAACTTATGCTCAATGCTTTTAAAATCAATCTCTACAAATTAGTTTAATGATATAACGTTAAGACACCTACAGTGACATTTGTGCAGTATTTATAAATGAAGGTAGATACAAAATTATAATAACTATTAAGAATATATTGGAACCCATAATCTATTTTTTCAAGTTATGAGTAAGGATTTGTGATTAATAACAACATTTTCAAGTGGGAACATCATTTACTATGGTAAGAATTTTGATGTAACAGTGTGAAAATCAAAAATATTCAAGTAGATATCACAGTTTGATAATTTCTTTTTCTGCAATGTTGGGGATAGAACCGGGGGCCTCATACATGCTGAGCAAGTGCTCTACCACTGAGCTACATCCCCAGCCCTAGGAAATGTCTTTGAAAATATTTCTAGGCCATTGAGATTGCTTGTTAAGCATTTTTAAAAATTATTTGAATGAACCTCTAAAAGACTTTTTCAACTAGAAGGATTTTAAGAGGTTAGGAAAAAGTAAGTATATACTTTGTCCCCCTGGTAGGAAAACATGTCTGATCATGATGTACCCAGATCTCTGATTGAGAAAGGCTGCTTTATCCCATGGAATTATCTTATAAAAATCATGTTCTGAAGATCCCTGGTGGTACTTACTTGATTCAGTTACCAATTATGATCTGAAACAGACTCACTTTATTCTGAATTCCACTGAATAGCATAAAGTATTGTAATAAAGCTCTTGTCTTCATGTTTAATGAAAAGATACATTGAGATACTTTACTACTGTTTCACTTCTTAAGTAGGTCCTTTGAAAGTTTTCCCTCATATTATAGTATGCAGATTTACTGACCCAAGTTTAGAGGAAATAAATGTGTCTCTAAAAGAAAAGGAATTTTTTTACATACTGTGGATATCTAGATGTAGTTTTAGCTTTAATATTCTATATTGTTTACATTTACAATCCACACGTAACATTAGACTTCTCAAAATAGCTTGATTGTGTGTTACTGTCTCCTAAACAATTTTTTTTTTTCATGTAGAATTTGGAGTTCAGAATAGTTTTTGCAAACTTATTTTAAATAACTTGATTTTTCAAAGGTGCTATTTCTTTTGTTACATTACATTATAATGTTTCCTCTGCAGCTGAATGGGATGAGCAGTACATATTAGTTTACTAAGTCTCAACATGCTACTGTTCATTCTGGTCTTATACTGCTTGATGAGTTTTCATCTTCAATTTTTATATGGAAGAATTTTTCATTTTCCCCCTTTTAGTAACTTAAGAGATTCATGTGTTCATTTTATGAAATGCTTGTCTTGTGAAAAATATTTTAAGTCGGACTCCTAAAATTTATACTGATTCACCTGTACTCCCCAAACAATTATAATACATTTCCCCCTTAAGTTGTGGAATATCTTGAAGTAGGAATTGTGATTAACTAATAAAAGTGAAAATTCATGAAACCATTTGGTGACCTATGTTAATATGCTTAAAACATATCTGAACTAAATATTAGATTTAGTTTGTTATCTTCTATAGTCAGCCAATTCTAAATTGTCATTTGTGTAGAAGATAAAATGCTAAATGGTAGTTGGATTTTAAAAAGAAAAAGTATTTGAAATTCCTTTGCATTGTTTCCTATGATGGCATATCCTTTGAATTTCTCCCAATCCTCACAACTTTCAATCATCAAATCAGGACTTGAATCAAATAGAATTTGAATTCAATTTTCTGTAGACTGTGCCATTAGGAAAACATGTCAAAATTTTGATACTAGCAACTTTCAATTGTATTTGGTGACGGTATTTGCTAAAATCTGTTTTTTAGTTTTTCATAGCCTACAGCTTGATATATTGTATTGTGCAATTTTTGAAATGTTCTAATATTTTAATTTGATATTAATATAGTGCATCCCTGATAATTTTAACCTACAAAAAAGCATGCCAAAATAAATGTAAGAAAATAATTTCAACCAAAATCCTTTCTTTGTTACTTGGCATCTGTAGATTTTAGAAGCGTGTGTTTTTTTTTTGCATGCTTAGATTTTTAATCATCTTTCTGGAATCTCATGGTTTCTTGTGATATATTGTAAGCAATATAAAATCTTCCAATAATCCTTCACACACACACAAATATTGATTTTGTGCCTACTGTACGCCAGCTACCTTTGTAGGAAATTAACATCTTCCTCCGATCTTCTCTCCTCTACCCTACACAGTAAACCTTTGTATAATTACCAGGTTACATTAGTTAGCAAATCATATTGCAAAATAATTATTAATGCTTTTAACAAAATACAGTGTGTTGATAGTATGAGGTGATGGGGTTCTTATTACATGTGTATCTGGATAACACTAAATAGACACTATTCTGGCTTAGAACCACAAATCAACCTAAAATCAATTAAAAATTATGAGACTGAGAAATTATTAAGGGATCATAGAAGGAAAAAACCTCTAAAAAGCAACATCTGAAAAAAATTTCAAATAAATATGCAAACTTACAGGCATTTCTCTTTCTTACTCATATAGATTTGGATCACACAGAGTGGAGAGAAAAAAGCAACATAGCTTTGTAGTTTCTAATATGAAGGCATTGAATTGAATGAAAAATTCAGTTTGTTCATATTTTAGTCTAAATTTATAAGATATTTAAGTAGACATAAGTGATTCCTGTAGATGTGAAGCTTAAAAAATATATTCTAAAGATCTTAGGTTTTTAGTGTTTCAGTTACAAGTTTTTTTTTGTTGTTGTTTTTGTTCACTTTTTGTTTTGAAATAATTTTAAACATAAGAAAGTTGCAAAAATAGTAAAGCCTTTATGAAGTGAACTTTGCTTGAATTCCCCCACCACTTCGCATATTTGCTATATATAGCATTCTCTCGCTCTCTCTCCAAACTATGTTGTGAACTATTTGAGAGCAAGTTGAAAACATAATTCCCACGTTTTCTAAGTGTGTATTTTCTAAGAACAAGCAAGGACATTATCTGACTTTGATGTTGTAGAATTTTAAAAAATATTTTGGTTTTATAGTAATACCTAGGTAATAAAAAATATTTTAGTTATAGATGGACACAATAGCTTTGTTTTATTTATTTATTTCTTTATGTGATGCTGAAGATCGAACCCAGTGCCTAACACGTGTGAGGTAAGTGATCAACCACTGAGCTACAACCCCAGCTCCAATACCTAGGTATTTTAATAATAGTAAGTTTTTGTTCTAATTTATAGGAGTTTGTTTGTGAAATGAGACATGAGGATTTTTTTTAACCAGATTAGTATGCCTGTGCTGAGATACATGAAGATCAATATCTGTTTTTTAGTGCTTAAAAAGCACTAAATTCTTTATACATACACAGTTTCCAGGCATATTATTAACTCTACCTTTATATTGACTTTTATGCCACTAGATTAGACTGTGATTAATTAATGTACTTTGATTTTGCTTAAAAATTTTTAACTACATTTGGTTCTACATTGCTGTACACTCTTACCATGTTATTGTGTCTTGCTGAAATTATATATAATGCAAGATTGAGATTGCTGTAAAAATTCTTTTATTTCTTGTTTCATGATAGTGACTTACTCTTTTTTTTAAGCAATTTGTACAATTTAAATATTTGAAATAATTTTTAAAACCACTCAACACTCTGTGGCTTAACTTTGAGGATAATGATTATAGAAAAGTAGTTTTCAGACCATCGCTTTTATAAGAATCATCTGAGAACCCCAGAGTCCTTCCCTTAAAGATTTTAGATCAATGACTGAGGCTGAGAAATCCACATTTTTTAGCAATTTACTTGGCAGCTCTGGTGGAGGCAGTTTGGTTGTTTAACCCTTAAGAAACAGCAACAGAGAAAGGTCAAAGGCAGGAGAGATGATGTCTTCCTAATGCCATAGTCAATGTACCTAATAGAATTGAAAAGAGTCAGTATTTCTTTAGTCATTCCTTTTTGTTTCTTATCAAAACAAACACTATAGTTTTATACCTATAAAAAATAAAAAACATGATATTTACATCCTATGAAGTAAGATATTTTTTAGGTGCCTTTTCAGTATATTTTATGCCCATACAACTTATCACATTCACTTAAGCATAAGAGAGAGAATAATAGTAAAATTGTACTGGATTTAATAATAACATGAAATAATGGACATTATTATGGTTAGCTCTGTTAAAAGATTTTTGTATAGTGCTATTGTTAATTGAATAGAACTTCCAATACTTTTAAAAAATAAGCCTCCCCCAAGACACACACATCTTAGAGGAATGTATTCAAGGTTGTGGGAATTGTATATGCTTCTGTTTGGGAGAAATATTCATGACAAAATAATGATTTGTTTTCCTGGATGATTTTAAATTTAATCACATGTTGATTAAAATAGATTTGTGGCTAAATTAATGTGTTCAGAAGCTGGTTTTATTGAGTTAAACTTTAACTGAAGTTTATTAAAACGCTTAGAACAGAAATTAATCTGAAGAACTGAGGAAATGGAATTATTAATTTACGCTAAGTCTCAGGAAGAGAAAATGGCAATTTTCAGCTCAAAGAGCATGCATTTTGTGACATCAATCTTTCTCAAAGCCGCAACTTTATTACTTGTATATGTAGCATTAGTTTCAAAATCCGGCATTTTTTAATTCCAAAATTAACATATCAGATATTTTATATAGAAACTGAATTCAAGGCATTAAAAGTGGTTTACATCTTTTATTAAAATTTAAAATTTCAGAAAGTTCAAAATTTCAGAATAGGTTTTATTGCAGTAGAGGTGATACTCTCTGTAGTAAGTTGTATAAAATACAGTAACAGGTTGGTAACAAAAGATAGATATGAACATAGCTTGTTAAAAGGCTTTTTCTTTGCTATTTTTAAACTTTATATTTTTATTTTTGTACTATAATTATACATAGTGGGATGCATTTTTACATGCACACAATTTTTGTACATGTATACAACTTAACAGTATAATGTGGTCAGTATTTTTCCCCAAGGTCTCTCCTTTCCCACCTCTCCTCTCTCCTCCTGGTCCGTTTCCTCTACTGGTCTTCCATTTTCATGAGATCTCACTCCTGCCATCTTTCTTTTCCCTTTTCCTCTCTAGCTTTACGTTTGAGAGAAAACATAACAACCCTTGACTTTCTGAATTTGCTGATGTTCCCTAACATAATGAGCAAGATGTGGGGGCACATTTCTGTAATCCCACCAGCTTGGGAGGCTGAGGCAGGAGGATCACAGGTTTAATTTCAGCCCTGGCAACATAGTGAGACCCTGTCGTAAATAAGATTTAAAAAGTCTGGGGATGTTGTTCAGTGGTAAAGTGCCTCTGGTTCAATCTCTAGTACTGGGGAAAAAATACATATATATTGGATTAGGGTTGGGGGTGTAGCCTAGTGGTAGAATACATGTTAGTACTGGGTTTGATCTCCAACTCCCCCCCACCCCCCCACCCCCCAAAAAAATATATGGATATATTTCTTGGGAAACACTAACAAAATTTTAAAACTTATAAACTATCTTAGGATGTTGATATTAGGTTTGGATGGCAGGTTTTTAAAAATTTTCTCATTAACCATACTTAGTCCTAGAATGAGGATGTTCTGAGGTTTGGGAGTGAAATTTGTGTAAGATTCAGGAAAAAGTACTCGACTGTTTTAAGCCTCCAAGTCCTCATCTGTAAAGTGGGGAAGGTAGTTGTCTGAGGAACAAATGGGACCCATCTACAAATATGGATCACAGAGGTTGGCAGACATAAGTACCCAATAAGTATTAGTTGTTATTAAGGATATTGTTGCTTTTAATGATTTTATAATAACTTTTATCAGGTGAGATTTCTTAAATCATATCAAACCCATTTCTTGGGAAGAATTTAGCATTAGTTATGGAGGATGGTTTTGGTTATAGGTTTTTGTGCTGTATTTGCTACTTCCATTAGTTTGAAGTATTGCCTATATTTAACTATTTTCCATATCTATGTTTTTGTTTTGTTTTGTTTTTGGAACCTAGGGGCACTTAACCACTGAGTCACATCTCCAGCCCTTTTTTATATTTTATTTAGAGACAGGGTGTCCTGACTTTGTGTAGGACCTTGCTAAATTGCTAAGGCTGGGCTGGGCACAGTGGTGCATATCTGTAATCCCAGCAGCTCAGGAGGCTGAGGCAGGAGGATCATGACCTCAAAGCCAATTTCGGCTGCTAAGCAACTCAGTGAGACCTTGTTTCTAAATAAAATACAAAATAGGGCTGGGGATGTGGCTCAGTGGTTGAGTGCCCCTGAGTTCAATACCCAGTATTAAAAAAAAAAATTGTTGAGGCTGGCTTTGAACTCCCTATTCCCCTGCTTCATCCTCCCAAGCTTCTAGGATTACAGGCATGCGTCACCAAGCCCAGGTCTTTTCCTTATCTTGAATTACAAGTCTCTAGCTTTATTTAGTAGAATAGTGGAAAGGATCTACCTATAAGTT